ATAGATATGCATAACCCTGAGAGAGTTATCCAGTGCCACTCGTGGTCGTGCCGGTTCATGCGGACCATTTTTTTTTTTTATCAATGGCCTCCGTGCCTTTAAGAGTGAGCAGCTCTCGTGTGTATGCGATCGAAAGACATCCAACCGATCGCCGCTGCGACCCTTGCCGAATTGCTTTCATGTGATTAGGGTTATCGTGGATTTTGTGTTAAAAGGTACTTATCGAAATGTAGCGGGAAAAGAACTTTGATGTGGTGAGCGCTTTCGTATGGCGTTTGCACACTCTTGGAAGGCGGGAAGGCGCCTGTGAGGGCAGGGAGCGAGTGCGGTGGCGGCTGTCTTTATTGCCCCTAACATCGTGGCACCACAAAAAACGCGTGGAAAGGCGTAAGCGCACATCGTCCGCCGAGTTGTCTCAGCAGTAAAGTTGATTATAGTACCGCATAACTCGCTCCGGACGGTGTCGACGACAGCGCGTGCAGGTCGACGACTCAGTCTCGCTCGCTGACGGCGTATTTGCCCGCTGTGCCCTTTGCGGTCGGAGACGTTTCAACCGACGGCGGTCGATTCAGCAATTTGTCCTTGTGGCGATGTCCTCCGATGTGCACGTACTGCACGTGCTATACTCTAAGCGTTGATGAGCGTTTTGTTATGCCCGCGTTTTCCTGGGCAAAACACATTGCGTTATATGCGGCTAAGAACTAGAATTCAGCCGCCATAAATATAGCTCCCTGTTGAGGAGAACGGAACCTTGTCGGCTGTGATAATCAGGGCACGCGCATTTGTACGCACACGCGCACGCATGGAGAGATAGGGAACTCCGAGAAACCGTTAGAGAAAATTCCAGTGAACACTGACGCCTCACGTGCATGTTAGCGCAGGCTGTTTATCACAGCCAGCCAAAATGGCTGCATGCTATTGAGATAAAATGTTACGTCATATAGATTCGCTTTGCTGCTTTCACTTATCACGCATGGCGTACATCTCTTCCCAATAAGCGTAATGTGTAACGACGTAGCTTCCCGTTTTATAACATCGGAGGCTATATATATCTTCCGACTGAATGACACATGTATGTGTCACCCAGTCAGGGGAAAATACGCGCCTTGTCCATAAGTCAATTGGTCAGGCACGGAAAGGAAAGCTTTGCGCATAGGAGCCGCAAGCTACTTGATTTTTTTTTTCCATAATTCGCCGGAGTGGCTGGGCAGGCGTTCACTGTCGTTGATCAAGAGGCCTCGTGGTCGATTTCCGCTGGCGTAGGATTATTTTCAAGGGGGGCATCACGCACACACACAAAAAAAGCCTGTGCAATGATGTGTCGGTTGTCCCAAATAACGAGGGAGTCACATCGCGGCAAATTCAGGCAAAACGAAGCCTTAACTCAGATTGTTGTGATCGCCATATGTATAGTACGGTATTACGTACATCAAATACATCGTTTGTAGCGCGAAAAGAGCAGCATGATTTGCTTTTTCCTTGCCAAGTTCGTATATGATACCCATCGACCCTTTCGGTTTAACGAGTTTTGAACAAGATGTCTCAGAAAAGATACCACAGTGGTAAACGATTTGTGACGGCCAAGCGTTCATAGAGCGACGTTGCTTTTTGATTCGATGTTGACTCTTTTTCGTTCACCTCGTCTAATATTATATGACTCTGCTGATACGCCAATTGCCTGTCGAAAGTAAGTGGCGAACATCGACATGAGTGACGTCAGGCACCCAGAGCGGCGCCACCTGGGATCGATTAGCTGTGCCTCTGTGCCTGCTGCCATTGATTGCGGTGATTGTTCCGAAGAAAACGACCGAGCTACTCGCGACGCTCATTGTACTCCCGCCTCATCGTCGTCATGGCTACCGGTGTGTAGTTTAGGCGACTTTCTGCGCTTTGCGCGGTCATCTGCTTACTTGGAGGTGAGACGCCCTGTGCATTCGTATTGTGTGTTGGCGCAGAGGTCTGCCAACAAAAACTAGGGCACTTTTCGAATATGTTTGTTTCTCTCTTTTGACATGAAACTACTGCAGCACTGCTATAAGTTCTTACTTCAGTACTTCAGTGATTGCATAGCAGTTGAGGTTTCTTTATGGCTTAATAATGAGATAGTGATGTAATATAATCATTATTGGTACTAGAATCCTGAGCGATTTCTGCTAATTGCATTCAGAAATGCAGGCAATGGCAGTTGTGAGGCTTATTAAGGCAGCTCTTCATCTGCCTCATATGTTCTCTTTCTTTCCTCGAAGAGGCTTAAAGTGCACAGCATAGGCAAAGCTACCGTATTTATGCCCAACGTTTCCTTGAAAAAAAAAAAGATTGTCATTAGACGGTTGCTTTTGCTAATGTTATAAACGTTCGTTACTGCAAGCGAGGGACGACTGCGCATGCTTAGAATAACGACTATCTGAACTGCTTCGTAAATACTGGCGTTTAGTGCCTCGTGAGACAGGTTTGCAGCTGATTTCGCCGCTTGAGCAATTAGTACATCTTTTTGTGACCGTAGCGCCAGAACGAATCCTCAAGACTTGCTAACATAGGTTAATAGTTCTTCGTTTATTGCGGAAACTACGCATGCATAATAAAGTTTTGCGCCCACCCACCCATGACATATTGCTGGCCGGGCGTCGTTGGAAAGCACATACAATTAATCCGTTGTGAACATAAGACAACTGCAAGCGAATGAGTCCTTTTTATGTACACTTCACCTCATCAATATGTCCGAGAGACGTTTTTATTGTCGCGGGCAAGTTCTCCTCTGTTAAAAAATATTCCAACAATGTAAGCTGTGCTTAGGCGCTAGCCATAGCTCAAGGGACAGGAGTATTTATAACATGTGTGTGGCCTGTAAGCAAGCTATCATCATAGTAAACAGGTATGTGTCACAGAAATTGCATTAATTCCAAAACTCACCATTGTTAGACTCAAAATGAAGAAGGCAACATTTAACCCACCAAATGGCTTCGAAGTATCCTCGTGAAGTATGCGCTCGTCAAACTTGCTCAAGACAAGGTTAGAATTTTGTTGGGCGCATAATTACAGATCGTGGGGAAAGGTGTCGATCAAGGAAAGCGAGGACGTCGGCCAGCGACAGTTCGGAATGGTTTGCTTTCAAGACCGTGCTTGCTAATCGATCAGTGGAAAATTCGATAGTGACTCTCGGCCGCAAATAAAGGTGCTGTGGTAATTTGGTCATGCGTAGCTATATAGCCATCACCATGGCTGCTCGTACGTGGTCGCGACTCTGCTATCAGTGGTTTGCAAGATTTACAAGGCAAGAGAGAGGGAGCGATAAAATAAAAAGAGAAAAATGCGGGCAGGTTAACCGAAAATTCCCTTAATGCAGGGTTCGCTACCCTGCATTAAGGGAAAGGGGAAGAAAGATGGGAAAGAAATCGAAAAGCAAAATAGGCGCGCGAAAAAAAAAAGAAAGAGCGGGGGTGCCATAGCCTATTCAATATAGGCTACTCTACCACGCAAAAAGCTCAATAAGGCCTTCACTGACTTTCTGTGCGAAGGCAGATCATGTCGGCTTTCGAGCACTGACTGTTCTGGCAAGGGTATGTCGTCAAGGCGGGCTAACGCAGCAGCTAGCGGCTGTCTTTGCACGCTGTAACGAGGGAAGTGACAGAGATCGTGCCCCCTCGTTTCATATCGCTGCCGCAATGGTCGCAAGCAGCACTGCCTTCCGTGTATTTACAAGGCAATGTCGTTCATCGGAGTATGAACCTGAGTCTGGCATTTCGGAACGTCTTCTATTGCTTCGTCCATGTATACATAAAGCGTCTTCCTTTGGTGGCGTATAATATTACTGATGTGCAGCGTGTTGTACACTGCATGTTCAGCTGAACTCAGCGCCGTTGATTCCCCCCTCGGTTGACTTTCTCGCTTTTGACGGTCTTCATGACTGTTTCACATTCAATTCCGAGATCAAAAAAAAAAAAAAAAAACGTCAAACGGTAGTTTGCCTGTTCAGAACGCAGTGTTAGCTCTTATCGTTCTGTAGTGAATGGTTAACTTTTTCACTGCGTAATGGGCATGTGTGGCTGTAAATTATATAACCAGCTTACTTCGTCTCATGATCCGTCTGTACCAGACTCCCTGTCACTGATGTTCGTTTCCGTTCAGTGTGAACTAATGTGGAACTCCTCATGAGACAGAAGCTAAAAGAAATACGATAGCTTGAAGTTATCAGTGATCATACTGCAAACGCCGTTGCAACCAACGATTCCAAAAGGCTGGGGCTTGCCCTAGTAAGGGCAACAACGCCTTGACGACGTCGAGATCCTAATCGGATTCTACTACTTGGTTTCTTACTCCAACTGTGGCAGCCATTGGTCCCATAGTTATAACAATCTTTTGTATTAGTAGAATTTATACTATTATACACCTATTTATACTATAAATACATGCAGGTAAGTATTCTGAAACATTCCGTCCGGAAAGGAATGTTTCAGAACACCCACATTTGTTACCCGGAAGCACCATGCGGGAACGTATATATGTTTGCCTCATCTATATGGAGATCGTGCTGTAATTCCAGATGCTCGAGAAGCGGTGCATGTAATAGCACTGTTTTTTGCTTGCAGTGAAGACGGCCGCCTCAGCAAGCGATGTGTGTCACGCGATCACGCGAAGTGGAGAAACATGTAATGAAATTCAATATGAGCACCTGCTGAGGCTCACCTCAAGCAGGACAGCATCACTGGCCAGCGAGATCTGCTAAACACGATTAGTGAGTTCCCTAGTCAACGCCAGGTACGGCAAACAGCCTCCTGAGCAAATGGCGCCTGTACACTATGCATGAAAATGTGTGGGCTGTTGATCTGCTAATTCTTGCTTTATTGCAAGGTCACTGCGTTTGTTTTCTTGTACATTATTACTGCATTTGACATTGTTTTACTAAGGACAGAGTCGTTTTAATTGGGCCGTGTTTTCGTGAAGGATGGTAAAAGCATCCGTATTTGTGCACAGCCTTCATGCTTGTCTCATCTTATATGCAGACCATCTGGGAGATGGACCGATACCTAAAGGACGAGCCCCGGGGCGCCACGTCCAAGCGCTGCTCTGGCCGCGAGCTGCCTTCGTCCACAGATGAAGCGGCGCGTCTGTGGGAGGAGTGCAGCAGCCCCTCTGACGGCAAGTTGCTCCTCGCTGACTCTGGCATCGGCAGCAGCGACCTGGGCGACTCGAGCGAGGCCGAGGGGGACCGCCTCTCGGACGACCTGGACTTCGGCGCTGGCGCTATGGACAATGCGAGCGAGAGCTCAGCCTCGAGTGCGCTCTCCTGGGAAAGCGACGGCTCGGCCAAGGCCCAGCCGCCATTCAGCCTGGTGCAGCGTGCCGCCCTCACGCCGCCCTCTTCTCCGGAGGCCGTCAGACCCCGTGCGGGTCGCAGTGGACGCCACGCCGCTGAGCCGAGTGGCAACACCGCCGCCGCGCCTCTGCTCGCCGCCGCCAAGCAGGCACACTTCCACCACGCGGCTCGCGGAGGCCGCCGCTTCGACGTGGACTCGAGCAAGCGCCGCATCCACCGCTGCCAGTTCAACGGCTGTAAGAAGGTCTACACCAAGTCGTCACATCTCAAGGCGCACCAGCGGACACACACGGGTGAGTCGTTTGTCAACGACGTTGACAGAAACGCGCTCCGAATAGTGCCAGCAAACCTGCTTACGTTTTCTACCCCCAATCTACAAGTGAACGTAAGTGCTCGCGCCGCATAATAGCTGAGCTTTGATGATCGTTTCAATAGCACGTATTTCAATCTGGTCGACCTTGTGGTTGTGTGATGTATTCCGTCAACAGGTATTTGGCCGTTATCGATTTGATATGGAGCTCTGCGCAGTACGCACTTAATAATGCCCTTACCCTATTCGTAAATTTCTCTAGCTGTATTTCTGAGCGATTGAAGCATTCGTGCTTTAGTATTGTCAGAAAAATATCCTTGCTCTATGATGTGCAGATGACTTCTCAAGCTGCCCTATTATTTGCTGACGTTCTGGTGCGCGCAGTAATTTTCGAATCTTCTATCTGAGCTCACGTCGAATTCTTCGACCCTCATTGCAATGTTTATTATATTGGGCGACCGAAACCATCCCGTGAATTTCCTTGTCGAGGCACCCCGAACAACGTGAATAATTTTGCCTGGTTGTCCCGTGTTCATTTAATTTTTTTTTTTCCGAAATGAGATTTCCGCTTCGTCCAGACTGCATTGAATACTAAGAGCTCTTGCAGGAGGACCATGAGAATGAACGAACGAAACGAAAAGTAAAAGAGAACGCGCAGGCTGCCTTGAAGGGGGTCCTGAACAAAGAGACTAGAACGAGAAAAAGAAAGATAATAATTGTTCTCAAACGACTCGAAGGCGCAGAGGAGTTAAGAGAGCGCGAAAAACAGTCGACGCGGGCGCGCGTCTTTGAAGGGGAGTTCCTCGCGAGGAGTATTTCCGGAGAATTAAAAGAAAGGACGTGACGCGTCACTGGAAAAAAAAAGGGGGGGAGGAAGGCTGCTGGCGAGTAGAAGAGGGGCGGCAAATTGTCTTCGAGGATCTTTGGGCACGCACCGAGCAATTAAGGAGCTGCACTGGGCGGCGGACTGCGCGGGCCACGCGCGCACTCGGTGCTGACGGCCAAGAATTTGCCTCTTCGAGGGCTGCCCCATTTCTGGCCGCTGGGGACGCCAAGATGGGCGCTAATTTTCTGCCGCCTTGGTTCATGGGCCGCCGCTCCAATTAGAAATCTACGCTGCCAGTCAATCGGAGCCGTGCGGCGACGATGAGGCCATTGTGCCCAGCAGCGCCTTGTTTGGCCGATGGGCCTTTTTAATTAGCAGCCCGCACGTCGCTGCTCTTTCTGGCGCACTGCTCGGAGCCGTCCTTTAGTGCAAGCCGATAGCATTGTCAACACGAAATCAGGCGCATCCAGCTCGGATGGCCCTCCACTTTCCCATTGGCGAGTGTGCAAGGTCTGCTTGGCAATTCTCCTCGCGAGTTTGTTATCTCTCGCTTTTCTTTGCCCATGGGCAAGCACCGAGCCGCGACGGTCCATTCTTCTTTCCAAGGCTGACCGGCACTTCCTGGTTTAATTGCATTAACCAGCGAACACATTCTTCGGAGCCTGTCTGGTTTAGGTGGTTAGCGTATACACTCAAGCGCGTCGCGTTTTGTGTGAGCCGCTTCGCAGGCGTGGCATTCTAGAGACTCTTGCCGTCGTGCATTTCCGGCAGTAACGCAGTCTATGCGAAGTGACGCTCATAGGCTCGTATATATACTACCTCGGCATATGCAAACTATAGCTAAGGAAAGCTTCTCGAGTAAATCATGGTGATTAGACTGAGGGAAGCGCTGGGGACGCTGAGGGAAGTGCTGTACTTTTCGAAGCTGCATGCATGGCTATAGGTATTTGCAGACCAGATGATAAAGACAAAAATGCAAAGTATAGATTGTATATAATGATTCTGTACGTTAATCAAGAAGCCAGGTGTTGAACATAAATAACTGGAAAGTAACTCTCATCACAGTTAAATAATCTAGACGATGCGCAGAGATTTGTAGACTGTGAGATTTTAAAAGCAACCACAGGAAGATTCATGCGTGACAGAGACGGAAAAGGCACAGAGAAGGCTACAGCAGGGTTGGGAGGGTTAGGTCCTCATGAGTGTAGTTCACACAAGTTTTGCTCCATCGTAAATGGACGCTCATCCCCGGACAAAGGAGCAGCCTTTCAAAATCTATCCTAAAGGACAACCACCTCGAGAAACGACTGATCTCCATACAGCTTGTTCAAACAAGTTCGCAATCGCCGTCAACTATCCGCGATACATTACTTTCAGACGCTTAATCCAACAACCGACTGCTTTTTTTTTTTATTTTGTCTGCGACATTTTGTTGTCGTCAACCACAGTCACGTGCGCTAAACTTCCGCACGTTGCAGAAGCTTTCTTTCTTCACGGTCGTGGTTTTTCTATATATAGACCCATTACGGTGAACTTGTTGTGTTGTTGGGTATTAAATGGAGCTCATTAAGCTTCCGGAGGAAATTGCGATGCTTCTTTTGGAAACGGCAGTGAGGAAGAAGCTCCACGAAACGCGCTGTGTGATTCTAGAGCGAATCGAAACGGAAATCGATTGTTGCTGAGATCAGTCCACCGATGCGATAGAAGTGAAATGGCCCGCTTTTTCTTCTCTGCAAACAAGAAGTGTTTTGGTCACACCTTTGTAATACACCTGATTAGACATTATGACCTTTTTTTTGTTCAGTGTAAACAAAGAGCAGCTGCCCTAGCATATCTTTTTTTTTCTCGGGTTTGTGTAAAATTTTAATCTATATCAGTACGTGGAAATGTTTATGCTACGTAAAATGTACTGTTGTGCTGCGCGACGCATACTACTGTTATATCTGAGGACTTCCAAGCTTTGTCGATGATATGAAAATAGAAAACGAAAAAAAAAAAACACATCGGCAAATTGAACGAGAGGGAAGTGAGAGATAGGCCACATAAAATTACGCTTCCATCCATTTATACATACGTATAGTTGCCGTGCAGCGCACCCGTTGCTTGCGTTTTAGTACGAAAGCGAGGAATTGCGGTATAGGTGAAATATGATTTTCGACGAATTAGGCTTCAAGAGGTTCGCTGAATGAGTTTGTATTTAAGCGAGCAGCGCGAAAAAAATGCTTAATACCACGCAATAGAGTGAAGAGGGACGCATGCAGCTTTGTGTCCATCTGCCCAGCTCGCCTACAGCTCTAACTGGCTGCGGTACAGAAGCAGTAATTTTTGCTTGCGTGACCGGGCACCTCCAATGAGTCCGTTCGTGTGCTTGGAGGAAAATAAATTTGAAGGTCTTTATAGAATTCGGTCGTTGTAGGAGGCCGGTCGACAGGTAGAAAAGGTGATCGGGGGCTGTTCATGTGTACGCTTTGCAATTGGTTAGCCGTCTAAGCTAATATAGCTCCGGCATCAGCACTGACTGCCACTTTTTTTCTTATTTTCTTTCCTTCAGTTGCAAGAACGTGTTTTTTTTTTCCTTTCTTTCTGTGCATACGTGACAGTAGAGTCTATCTGCACATCAACTCTCGGTCACGTGACCTTAGCAGGAACGTCACGCATGACATATATGGTGCATGGAGTGGCGCGTCGTGGTGGACAATGATTGTACCAGTGAAGATGCCAAGTGGCCCTGCGCTTGTTACCGGCCCCAAGTGACAGGGGTAAAACTCTGACCACTTACGCAACGCCAAGCAGAACCTTGCCTTTCATTTCAATTGCGCAGTGGCGGTATGACGTCATACGAGTCGTTGATTTGATTGATATGTGGGGTTTAACGTCCCAAAACCACCATATGATTATGAGAGACGCCGTAGCGGAGGGCTCCGAAAATTTCAACCACCTGGGGTTCTTTAACGTGCACCCAAATTTGGGCACGCGGGCCCACAGCATTTTCGCCTTCATCGAAAATGCCACACGAGATGTTTCTGCTCTGATCACATGATCCTGAGCGGCTGGTAACGCAAAATTTTGCTTTGCCAGAAGTCGCAGGTCGATATTTCCAGAGCAACACTTTTCAAACACAATGTCGCGAAGTTTTTGTTGTTGCTGTTTTTACGTGGCTTACAGCCACAGCAAAGAGAAAGATGACGAACAGTCGGCGTCAGAACTTTTGAGACCACTAGGTTGAGAAAACCTAGAATTCCCACCAATATATGCATGTCCGCATCCGGTCGAACTGCACAGTGCCTATTTTTGGCGCGTTTTGGAACGCGTTGGGAATCTAAATTCAAGGCTCCCTTAAAAAAAAAAAACGGAAATATTCAGTTTCGTCTCGCGGTCCTGATTTTTTTTTTACGCTGAGTGAACATTGTTACCTGTGCTGGGCGTCCCGACGCCTGTGTGCATACGCGCTTATTAGTTCGATACTCTTGACCTCGGATAATTTTCTTGCCCAAATCCACGACCATGTGTCGCTTCCTTGCTTCGCGTGGGCAATCTTAGAGGAGCCAACCGTGCGTGCGCTGCGCCTCACGGTGAAGCCTCCCCCGTGTGAGGCGCTCTCTGAAACCCGTGTTCTATTTCGTTGCAGGCGAGAAGCCGTACAAGTGTTCGTGGGAAGGGTGCGAGTGGCGCTTTGCCCGCTCGGATGAGCTGACGCGGCACTACCGGAAGCACACGGGCTCCAAGCCGTTCAAGTGCAACCATTGCGACCGGTGCTTCTCGCGTTCGGACCACCTGGCCCTGCACATGAAGCGCCACCAGTGAAGGAGTGGCGCCAGCAGCGAGCACGACCCGGGCCCGCCGCACGCCTCCTCGCCGGAACACCTCCTCCCCTGCTCCCCCCCCCCCCCCCCCAATTGTCAGCCGCCCTATGTCTCGTCATCTCTGATCAGCATGGCACGAGCGTGTCCTTCGAATCATTTTTACCGCGCGGTAATCGAGCCACTCTGAGGACTAGAGGCTAAAAAAATAAAAAAATTAAAAATTATCTGCGCGCGAACAGTTGGAGTTGCTCGTGCGATTCCATTCTTGATAACCTCTCCCTTAGGCTCGTGTTGCGAATGTGCGGCGTTATTCCGGCCAAGTTGCGGTGCACGAAGCGTACGCGTTACGACACGCTTCCGGTTCAATATGCAAGTCATCTACAAAGTTAAGCGAGAGAAAAACAAACAAAAAAAGTTACAGCGATCTTTCAGATAAAACGGCCTCACATGCGCTTGCCCTCCCCTCGCAGCAGCAGCTGCCTGTTGAAACCTTAATGAGCATTTGTGCACAGTGGTTCGGGCGTTTCGCGAATGCTTAGTTAACGTCTTTTTCAAGCTGTACTCTTCAAACAGGCATTTTTTTTTTCCTATATATGAGAGCTTCAGTTTTAATTCTTACGACATTCTGCATAAAATACTAAAAACGACGTGCTGCTGCAAATACTATTTTTCCGGTGAACACAGGAGGGACTAGGAAAGGTCGGGGTCATTTGCATTTCTCTGTTTCTGCAGTACCACTCATCGTTTATTTATTTCCTCATCGAGTTCTAACACTAACGAAGCGCGCTCTCGATCCACGCCGCAGACGACTTCGGTCCGTGTCGCTTTCTTTTGTTTTTTTCGGTCAATCGGAGGTATAGCGTGCGCCCCACCGCGTCATACGACGTCCCACCTCGGAGCGCCTGGAAGGCTTCCGGAGCCCTTGTCAGCGCGCGCGTCTTATCTCCTCTGGAGTGTGCGGGCTTTCTTACTCAAAAACGAGAGCAACTAAAGAGCGTGGGTTCTCTATCACTCGATTCCTACCCAAAAAATAAATAAATATATACATATATACGCACGGTTTCGAAGCAGTGGTGCTGTCGTATTGCCAAAACGCAACGCGTATTCCTTGCCGCATCTGACGGCTACACCAAAGACTAGCGCCACGCTCGCTTGTCCTTCGAGCTTTCCTCGGGCCGGCGGCGGACTCTGCCAGGAAGCTTGTAGCAAAGGAACGGGGAGCGCGACGGCCAGAGGTGATCAGGGAGGTTGCTTTCGTTCTGGAGAGAGTGCGTGGGGAATGCAGGAGCTTCGCGCGGGATTGGAGTGTGTCCTCCCTCCCCCTTCTTTTCCCGAACCCCTGCCGCCCACTTGGAATAAAAAGGACATTGCCACGGCGCTCAGTGACTGCGCGTGGACGAACATTGGACAATGCCGGACACCTTCGAGGAGTCGGCGGCCCCCACGATTCCCCGGCGCCGGCGATGTGGATGCGTGTGGACATTGCTGCTTCGCGTTTCTGAAAGACTTTGACTCGAACCGTCTCGCTTGTGGATGTGCGTGTGCATGCATTACATAGTGGTGTTCGTTCCCCTCGCTAAACTCTTCCCAGCCCCCTTTACTTCCTCTCACATAAATACAAACACATACGAACATGCATTCTATATCCCCCCCCCCCCCATTTCATATGAGTATTTGTTGTTTGTTACTGTATGAAGTAATCTTGCCTTCTGAAGCGCCGTTACATTTCGCTCCAGTTACTGTCAGACTGATTACTACTACATTTGACTGTCTTTCTCTTCTTCTTCTGTTATTGCTTACGTTATGCTGTCCAGTAAATGAATCTTGTGAGCAAATCATGGTGCATCCACAAACGATTTTTTTTTCAACGGAAAGATGTCACTTAAGACCAAACTAAATGAAAAAAAAAGAACAAAAAAAGTACGAGTCTACGCGGAGGCCGTGTGAAGCTTCCAGTGGTTTTCAATGAACTTCTTTTTTACATTTCGTTTGTTCAAGGGCGCTAACACTGCCTGCCGAAGTGTGATGGCTTGCGAAGCCGTTCGTGCCAGCCGAAGCGCCTCTCGTTCGGCATCGCGCTGCAGATAGTGCAGCCGGTGAGGACGCAACGATCGGCAGCCAAGCCACGTTACTGTGTACATTTTCTGTGTCTCATTATCGCCTTGTTTCTATTCTATACGTGTTCACGTGCGCATGCGTGTATGATGTTCACAGCTTACTAAGGTTTATTTCTATTGGTTTTTTTTTCTTTTTTTAACACTTAATGAATTTGACGGCTCTGAAAAGCGAGCCGTTTCCCACCGCAGATGCGATCGAGCACTGTGTCGCATATCGAGCGGTTGAAAATACCGTGTATATGAGAAACTTACTTTTTTGATTACTTGTTTTTTTCTCTCTCTCTTTTCTCTCGTGTTTTTGAGTATCACATATATTTTGAATATCGTCCCTTTCCGCCTGTCAGCACCGTCCCTTCCCAGTTTTATGTGACCTGCATATCCAGTTTCTTGAGTCGTCTTGTTGTTGAAATGCAGTTTTTATGTCGCGTACGTTGTGCATGAAACAGAGCTTGTATATGTAGAGACTATTGCTTTCGCGATTGTTAATCTGTGTTTTTTTGTCTTCTGTATACTTTGATAAATCGGTACTGCCCGTAAGTGCAAAATGTCTATGAAAGTAACGAAATCAATATTCAGGAAATTTGACCGTTGTGTATAGAACGGTAACGCCTGTTCTTTAGAAGACGTCAATTTTCCTGGTTTTCTGAAAAGTGCAAACTATTTCGCCAGTACCTCGCGTATTTCTCTTTTTTTCTTTCAAGAATCACTAGTTTTGACCGGGATTAGGCAAAATGCCTCTAGGAAAATTACTTTCGGGATAAATTTTGCATATAAGTGCGCATCATAGGTAATCAGTTCATGATCGAGAGATAACAGGAGGTGACATATTGAATGACTTGTCTATTTGAACAAGCACGAAGCATACTACTTCTATATAAGCGTGACTGGGCCAGCGAGTCGAACGGCCCGCGGCTTACAGCTCTATATGACCAAAACCAAATGGCATTATAATGAAAACGTTTTTCGTGCTAGTCTTTCGATTCATTGAAAGGAAAAGAAAAAGAACTGTGCATCATTCATAACCCAAATACGACAAGACTGACATGCAGACTATTAACCGCAGTGCACCGCCGCATAATCATACTGCTCTAGTCCCGTCACAAAATATGCTTTTTTGTGTGTGTACAGAGAGAAAGATATATATATGTAAATTCGTCCAGCTGTATTTGGAACCAAAAAAGCTGCAGAAAAACCGACAAAAAAACTACAAAAAAGGCTGTTTTGCTTCTGCCCAAATCCTACTTAAACCGATCTTACACCGCTATTTCCTAAAGCTGCCTCAGCGCAGGGTATTTGTGGGTCGCGAGTTCAAAGCTCGAAATGGACCGGCTTTCGTGAAAAAGCCTTACATGAGAGAGGAGGAAGAGCGATTTGAGAGAGGTTTCATTCACCCCACCCATCCCGTTGCATACTTCAAAAAGTGCCATGTTTTGAGAGTCGCGTGTTGGATACAAAGAGTGTGAAGCAGTGTTTCCTGCGTGTAATGGTCATGTTGTTTTTTTTTGTACGTTTTACGACGCAATTCCAACTATCATTCTGCTTGTTTACCATTTTAAAGAGTGTTCTCTGTTCCTCTCGAGTACATTGCGCGTGCATTGTGTCACTAGCGGCTGCTGTTTGTTTATCGCGTGTCATTGATACATTGCCATTGTTTTCTCCGCATCGTCGCTTTCGAGCTGCTTCAACTCACCAGTGATTGTGCGTGCGCGGTTGTGTCTACGCCAACACTGCTGTGTGGACGAAGGAAGACGAGGAGAGAGCAAAGGGCGTTCGTTGGCCTGCACGGCGCAAGCAAAACATCTGGGATGTGGTAGATTTTTCGCGGACCAAACTCTTTGCCAGGTTAAGGATAAAAAAGAAAAAAAAATGAGGACGGGCACGGGGCAACAGAACCTTGCAGGCAGTCCTAGGACGCTTAGAGCATTTATATAATCCAAACGAGGTGAGACTGGACGCTTAGAAAGCTTTTTATAAAAGAGAAATAAACTCACGACATCGCAGCTGTGTCTCTGTGTGTTTCTTCTTCTGGCCCTAACAACTTTAGTTGGTTGCTCTCGCATGGCTGAAACGTTATTTATTTAAGAAAAGCTGCCACAGAGAGACGCCACTTCCGGTTGACTGCAGTCATCGTTCGGCGTTATTACGCTCGAAAGGGCTTGGCTGGAACCTGCCAGATGAGTTATCAAGCATATATGAAACAGGTGGTGTGTAGCTGAGCAGATGCATCACATAGGTGTATCAAGCTAATAAACTACAGGTAAGTCCATTGTTAATTCGAAACTGGGGCTTCGCCGTCATGGCAATAGACCGCACAAACGTGTCCACAGGCACCGTGTCCCTGTTGTACATCAGTGACGCTTTTCATTGGTGGCAATACAATATGTCCCTGCATTGCTTAATTGTTAGTTGCTAGTTGCACTGACAACCAAAGCCATCTCGTGAAGGCTTCTGCCTATTTTGTTGTTTAATTCAAATAGTGGTTTAAAACTGGTTGGTCGTCACTGAAACGCCACTGTGCACCTTAAGTGTCGTCAAGCCATCCACAAAGTGACTATTTGGGTTGTCTTCAATATTGTCGCGGCGTGAAGACATAGGTCGTATTTGAAGAAGCTGAGAAAGCAGCAGCGGGTTGGTCATTTTACTTACCGCGCGCCAGAGAGTTCCTTGTCTTTCTCGTTGCTTTCTGCATAAAAGTGTGCAGATGAGCGTATGCACTGTCGCCTTCGTCTTTCTCGCAGGACGCACGTGACAATATAAATTTTAATCAGAGATGAAATATAGTGAAAAGTGAACAGAATGCTCTGCTGCACTTTAGGGTTTAATAGCTCCATTACTAGGAGATATTACGGAAGTATTGGTAAATTTCATTTTCTTCCGAGATTCAAGCTATCGCGTCTTATAAGTGATGATGATTGATTGGTATGTGGGATTTAATGTCCCAAAACCATTCTATGACTTTGAGAAA